AGAGAGAGAGAGAGAGAGAGAGAGAAGGGATCATATGAGAAAGGATGATACTGAAAGAAATAAGAATGATTGTAGGCCATTAGATCCAACCTATCAATGGTCATGATGAAGTCAAAATTAGTAATTATAGTCAAACTCATTAAGGTTAATTTAGCAATTTAACACTTATTAAGGGTAATTTAGTCTTTATAAATAATTCCATGTAACCACCCCAACCAATCACACTTCATCTCTCAAAAATAAAAAGTCACGTACAACCATTATTTCTCTCACACACACCTAAAACACACACTCATCTAACAATCACACACACACGCATTGGATCGGCCACAAAATCCAAGAATGACCACCGCGCCGCCGTCTGCCACATGTGTCACCAACACCGCCGTTGTTGTCCATCATGCCCCCCGGAGACGCCCGCCGTCAGCAACGGACCAAGCTCCACGGCGGAATCTGCTTACACTTCCGGCCAAAACACCACCACCAGCCTACAGCACCGTCGTCTACCACAGAGATGGCAACCCTCAGAAACACCACTATTTTCGCCCGTAGTGGCCACCAGAGACGTCCGCAGTTAGGCATCGCCCCAAGCTTCACGCCGGCCTCCTCTAGCAACCACCAAATCGCTGTCGGCAAAACCATGTGATTCCATCAACGCCAACACCATTAAAGCTTGTGACATAGCCCGCCGCCGGTCACAACATGCTCCATCGGGATGTTGAGTTTCGAGTCCTCACTGCCACGTCCGGCGAGATGCTGTTCTCCGGCGTAGATCTCCGACGGCGGGTGACCATAGAGACAACGACCTTAACTTCTGGTTGAACTCAGGTAGAGGTGGATGGGAGATTGCTGTGATTTGGACTTGTGGGTTGCCATTTGAAAATTTGATATGTTTTAGGGGTTTATTTATAATTTTATTAAGTTTAATTTATTTCACTTTAATACATGAGGTAAATGTGTAATATAGTAAAAGTTTAATTAATGCACTATAATGCTACATAAATTACACATTATTACGTGTCAGTCGGTTTAATTTGTCGGTTAAACGAAATAACAAAATTAACTTAAATAAATTATATTATTTATTGTATAATTATTTTTAGTTTCTAATATTGTTTTATTTAATATTTTATTTTTATATTTTGATTAAAAAAATCATATATATGTAAAAGAAATATTCGGTGCAATCTAACAATTATTAAGGTGCAATTCGTTCAACACTAGGGTGCACGGTGTTCGTATGTATCGTGCATATTGAACCAAACGATTTTTTTCCTAAACAATTTCTTCTTTCCGATTAACGCCATCTCTATCCGGATCATAGCTTCATTCATTCGTTGAACCTTGGGGATAACCATTAGCATTGAGGTCAATGACCACACCACCTCTAGAATACATACGACATTACACGAAGCGAGAGTGCACCCTCTAGTGTAGTGTCCACTTCCCAATTTTCTGCCAACCAGTGTTTCAATTTATTCGGTTTAGTTAATCGAATTATCATAAATAATCAAATATTTTTTTTATACAGATCATCGTAAACGAACTAGGCCTCAGTTAATTATTGCGTGCTCTTAACCCGCAAGATATTAAACAGACATATATGTGTAGTATTTATTACTTTAATTCACATGGGTAAGGCTTAGTAAACTAGGCCAATAGACCCTCTGTCTTGGGTAATATTGCTACATGTAGGATGTGATGTTGGATATTTACGGTCACCATGTACGTTTAGTTTGATGATATCCCCAAAGTGACTTCATGAAGGATTATTATGCTAAACCCTGCAGGTGGATTAAATTCCGGCATAGTATGAATGTTATGAACGAGCTCTAGCTTCGGTGAAATAATAATAAATTAATTAATTCTTGATTGTCAGTAATCGAATTAATTAAAAAACATTATATCTTAAACATGGGAATATAAATCGAGTAATTATTATTGAAGTCTCAATTGTGAATTGGGCTAGCAAAAGAGAGTGCAATAATATTATGTTGGTGGTTCATTTAATATTATTTAAATAATTAGAATAAGTGGGCTGACCCACAAGTATATTAATTAATTAAGGAGCCATTCTCCTTGTAATATCCCACTCAGTTATTAATAAAAGTAATTATTTTAGTTCTGAGATTTGAAATATTTACTTTTATTAATAATGCTCGTTTCTAGTAGCGATTCCAGTTATTAAGTTATAAGCTATAAGTTTGAATTTAAGTGAAAGTATTCTTGGTTAAATTTTATTTAGTAATCGAGCCAGTTCATTAATTAATTCCGGTCCGTTTATTTTTAGAAATGGATTTTATTAGTAGAGATTAATTATTTCGAGTTGTTTATGATTAATTTGACATGAGTGTCTAATTTAATCATTTGAGTAAAATAATTTATTTAGATATTTTAGTCTATTTAAATTATTAGAGAGAAATGTGAAGGTTTTAAAATTTTTGGGTTTTTCGGTTTTCGATTGTAGTCGGAATTTAAGTTCGATTTCACTTCCAGAAAATAAATTAAATCATTTCCTCTCTATATTTTTAGTAGATTACAAGATAAGAAAAGTTTTTTAGCATTAAAAGAAAAAATGTAAAAAGCAAAAGAAGGAAATCTGAAATTATTAGAATTTTTGATTTTACGGTAACTGTTCGTTTTAAGTCCGAATTCGGTTCCGTAAATTCTAGATTTTTCCATATTTCACGATTTTTTTTTTAATGTCAATCAGATTGGGATCACATTATGGGGCCTTTTTAAGCATTGACTATAGATTGGTTAAGTTTATAAGTTAAGATTACCATTTAATATCTTTATTTATTTTTACAAGTTTTGTTTGTTTATTTTGTTTATTTCTTCACTCAATCATCTTGTCCCCTCTTTTGTGGCTATAAATAGAGGCCTTAAATCAGATTATTTTCATCAAATAAAAGTTTCAAAAGTTATATAACTCATTAGAGAGAAATAAGTTGTGGGAATTTTGGAGAGGTGAAGAATTAATTTTCAAGTTCAAATTTTAGTTTCAAGCAAGAAGAAGAAGGTAATAAGCCATTCTTTTAGAATGCTTTATAGATAATTTAAAGTGCCTTCATATGTGTTAAAATATGCTAAAGTTCTAGCCTTTAAGTATTTATAATCATGCCATGAAGTAAGAAGTTATGTTAGATCGTATGCATGATTGTTATGTGTTGTTTGATTTCAAATTAAGCATGCTATGTATAACTTGGTATATTAAAATTATTATGGATATTTCTTGTGTAAATAATGAGTACATAGGAGCAAGAATCATGTCTTTTGGTTAAGTATAGCTCGAGTTATAGATTTTTAAAGTTTATCGTGTAAGCTGAATTTTATGTGCATGTTCCAGCAGTGACTTTGAAAGGGCATAAGTTGAGATATATGCATGATAAAATTATGAAATTTTTTGACATGTTTATATATATTGAGAGCATGCATGTCAAATTT